TTAGTGCATTTAAAAGTAATGTGATTGTTCTGGATAGTCTACAGAGGCATTAAAAAAGTTTAACACCTGCAGTTCACAAGATTTGTACTATTCCAGCTCCTAAGGAGCCATTAAACAAAAAATGAAAGCTGCCTCTGCACTATTCTAGTGTTATTTGCAGTATTTCTTATTCAAAACATTCAGCATATCTGCATGTTTAAAATCTTGGAAACTCCAGAATGGAACAGATGGTATCTGATTTAGTTATACTCCCCCGGAAATGACTGACTGACCCATAGAACTATAGTGGGTAGAGGAATACCCCTCCTTTGGTTAGCTGGAATCAATCCCTACTTTCTACAGCCTTCATCTCTACTACAGAAATCTGATGGGTAGACAAAAAGGAAATATCTAATAACTTATTTTCTACTGTGGTTATGGCAGTATGGGGGGCTGTGGTTATGGCAAATGTACCAATGCAGAAAAATTCATCTTTAAGGTGAGGGCAGGTGGCTCTTGAACCTCATTTTTTAAGATTTATTTTTTAAGTACAGAAATCCTTTCTTCAAACAAAATCTTAGAGAGATCCAAATATGTAATACAGTTAAAAATAGAATTGCTTTGGTTGAAGCAAGAGAGGGAACACAGAGCCTTACACCCTTGGTGTCCCCCCTCTCCTGAGGGATACCGAGAAGCAGTCGTTAGTCTAACACAGTATCTCCAGAGCCCTACCCAATTCTAAAATGCAATGATTCTAATTTATCAACTTCAAGTTAAGTGTAAAATTCCACTAAAATGTAGTGTAAAATGTAGACCAGTGAAACTAGGTCATTCATAACCATGAATGTTTTGTTTAACCAGAATGGTCAGACCAGAACACCACAGCCTCCTACTCTTATCTCCCAGTGTCACCTCAATAGGGATAAGGCATCAGCTCTTATAAAAACCCAGAGATAGGGAAGAAGAGCTGTAGACAACTGTGTCCTGTACAGCTGTACTGTACTGACTGCACAACTGTCCTCGCACACAGTCCCACTGCGGATACGCTGCCAGTGAAGCCACATAAAACCTATACTGAGGAGGGCAGCAGCGTGGTTATAAAGCAGTAAGAGTCACAGACTGAACCGAGCATGGTAGAGAAGGCGCCACAGTGGATTTGGGTTCATCCTATCTCTACCTCCAAATAGACTAAACAATCCAATCTGTCTAAACATCAGTTCTTTTTACATAATAAATAAAGATACCGAAGGTCCTTTCCTGCTCTAAAATTCTACGATGCTAAATGGACACATTTTTAAGTACGTAAGGTATTATTTTTTTTAAAGATTTTATTGATTTATTTGACAGAGATCACAAGCAGGCAGAGGCAGGCAGAGAGAGAGGAGGAAACAGGCTCCCTGCCGAGCAGAGAGCCCGATGTGGGGCTTGATCCCAGGACCCTGAGATCATGACCTGAGCTGAAGGCAGAGGCTTTAACCCACTGAGCCACCCAGGCGGCCCAAGTACATAAGGTATTATAAAGCTATTACTTTGGGGTATATGTTTTAACCTGAAGGAGGCCATCTTTAGCAATCAACAAATGTGGCTCAAAATCAGTATCTAACCAAAAAACAAAACTTACTGAAATCACCTATTTATTTCACAAGATTTATGTTTCACAAGGGAGAGCAGCTCAACCATTCCTGAGCATTGTAGCCTCTAATCAAGGCAGGCATCATTAAAAAAAAAAAACAGTTCTCTCTGGGCGCCCAGGTGGCTCAGTTGGTTAAGTGGCTGCCTTCAGCTGGGGTTGTGATCCCAGGGTTCTGGGATCGAGTCCCATATGGGGCTCCCTGCTCAGCGGGGAGCCTGCTTCTCCCTCTGTTCGTGCTCTCTCTCTCTCTCAAATAAATAAATAAATAAATAAAAAACAGGGGCGCCTGGGTGGCTCAAGGGCTTAAGCCACTGCCTTTGGCTCGGGTCATGATCTCAGGGTCCTGGGATCGAGGTCCACGTCGGACAGACTCAGTGCTCGGTGGGGAGCCTGCTTCCCCCCTCTCTCTGCCTGCCTCTCTGCCTACTTGTGATTTCTCTATAAAATAAATAAATAAAATCTTAAAAACAAAACAAAACAGCTCTCTTTAAGAAAGAAATGCAGGGCAGCTGGGTGGCTCAGTTGGTTAAGTGTGGCCTTCGACTCAGACTGTGATCCCAAGTCCTGGGCTAGAGTCCTGCATTGGACTCCCTGGTCCACAGGGAGCCTGTTTCTCCCTGTCTCTGCTCTCATGAATAAATAAGTAAAATCTTTTTTCTTTTTTAAAGATTTTATTTATTTATTTGACAGAGAGACAGATAGTGAGAGAGGAAGAAGCAGGCTTCCCGCCAAGCAGGGAGCCCCATGTGGGGCTTGATCCCAGGACTCTGGGATCATGACCCGAGCCGAAAGCAGATGATTAACGACTGAGCCACCCAGGAGTCCCTAAGTAAAATCTTAAAAAGAAAGAAAGAAAATGCAGGGGCACCCGGCTGTCTCAGTTGGTAGACCATGTAACTCTTGGTCTTGGGGTTGGGTTAATTTAACCCCGCACTGGATGTAGCGATTACTTAAAAATAAAATCTTAGGGACTCCTGGGTGGCTCAGTTGGTTAAGCATCGGACTCTGGCTCAGGTCATGGTCTTGAGGTCCTGAGATGGAGCCCTGAGCAGCGCCCCTCACTCAGCAGGAAGTCTGCTTGTCTCTCTCCCTCTGCCCCTCCCCCTGCTCATGCTCCCCTCCTCTCTCAAATAAAATCCTTAAAAAAAAAAAAAAAAAAAATGAAGGGGCACCTGGGTGGCTCAACTGCTTATGTCCAACTCTTGATCTAAGCTCAGGTTTTGATCTAGGGTCATGAGTTTGAGCCCCACATTGAGCTTACTTAGGAAAAATAAAAATAAAAAAATAAAAAGGGAGGGCACCTGCGTGGCTCCATTGGTTAGCATCCAGCTTTTGATTTAGGCTCAGGTCATGATCTCAGGGTCCTGGGAATGAGCCCTACATCAGGCACGGGGCTTGGCATAGTCTGCTTCTCTCAATCTCCCCTCATACTCATGCACATGAGCTCTCTAATAAACAGATGTTGTATCTCTGGAGTGCCTGGGTGGTTCAGCCGGTTAAGGGTCTGCCTTCAGTTCAGGTCATGATCCCAGCATCCTGGAATCAAATCCTGCGTCAGGCTCCATGCTCAGTGGGAAGTCTGCTTCTTTTTTCCCTTGCTCATGTGCTCGCTCTCTCTCCCTCTCTCTACGATAATAAATGAAATCTTTAAAAAAAAAAAAATAGATGAATCTTTTAATAAAGGAAGAAGGAAAGAAGGAAGGAGGGAGGGAAGGGAATGCAAATGGAAACAAAAATTAATGTCATGACTATTGTTTCCTGGCTGTTAGCTGGCTTATTTCATGACTGCTAGTTTTCATACTCCAGCCCAGTGCTAACAAGGTCTGCAAAAGGGTGCCTGGGTGGTTCAGTGGGTTAAGCCTCTGCCTTCAGCTCGGGTCATGATCTCAGGGTCCTGGGATCGAGCCCTGCATCGGGTTCTCTGCTCAGTGGGGAGCCTGCTTCCCCCCCACCCCCCGTCTCTGCCTGCCTTTCTGCCTACTTGTGATCTCTCTTTGTTTGTCAAATAAATAAATAAAATCTTAAAAAACAAAACAAAACACAAGGTCTGCAAAAAATGTCAGGAATCCCATCTGCCATATGCACAGCACCATGTTGGATGTTGATATCATGTGAACTTAAATGAAAACACAAGGCAAGAAACTTGTTTTCATTATCCTGCAAACTCAGAGTGGTGGAAATAATGGTGTGACCTATAATTTCATTTCTTATCAGAGACATGATACTTTTAAGTCACAACGCGATCTCAAAAAACAAGCACTATAAAAATACATTTTTCAGTCAAACCTCTAAGACTCAACTAGCCTTCTTTGCAGCCACTATCCAGAATGTAAAAGAAAATTTTCAAATCCAGTAATATCAGAGACTGGCTCAAATAAATCCCAGTTTATTCTGTAGGCTAACACTTCTACTTAGGCAGAAGGCAGCTTTACTCCCACTGTGTGAACACGACCCAAAGGAAACAGCACTTAGAGATTTCAGTTTATAAAAATACACTTTTGCTCCTTCTCTGCTAGTCTGAGCTCACGTAACTTCAGCCTGTACTTATGAAAGTTAGCTACTTACTTACATTCAAGTTCTATCAGTAGGTTCTGAAAGATGGCATGCCACTTTTGTACAAGCTTTTACTCTGAACCACTAGCTCTGTGTATCTCAGGGAGGGAGGGAGGGAGGAGAGAAGAGACAAAGCTGTGAATGTTAAAGAGAGGAATAAAGGAATGGACCCAATGCAATAGTTGACCAGAGGAGACAGACTACCAAGCACAACTATTCGCCGTAAAAGGCAGGAATTTACTCCTCAGGAGGAACCGGCTTCCTCGCTGTAAAATGTACCAAACAACAAAAAACAAGTAAACCTGCTGTTCCTTGGAACACACAGTTTTGGGTATGGATCTTTTCTCACCTGTTCTATGCTTTACTGTTCCTCCTGAATTCTTACTTTATAAACAAAAGCAGTCAATGGTAAGAACTCTATGCCCTCTAAAGAAAAAACATGTTTTTTGTGGGAAAATTCCATTTAAGTGCTTTGACAGAGCCCACCTTATTTTAGACATTGATAAACAGAAAGAATCAGAGTAGAAGGTAGATGAGAAAAAAATATTTTAGGTTAATTCCTGTGAATTCAGGTAGTGTTATCAAAGAAATCAAAGTATGTTTAGTAGATCAATCAAAACATTCAGTTATACAATTTTAAGCTTACTTATTCCAAAATAGGTTTTCTACAAAAAAAGAAAACCCAACATTAATGCCAAAATCAGTACTTAATGGTTCAACATCTACAACATCACAATGCTGATGTTTGTATTCAGCATTCCTACAAAGCTCTAAGAGGTGTGAAAGGGAGACCCTGTAGCAGATCTCTTCTTTCTACATTTTGCACATTATGTACCTCCAAAGCCAAGGCTGTCTTGTCGTAGGCATTAGGGACTCGCTTCTGGATTACCCTGGCATAAATGGGCCCATTCTGGAGGTTAGGGAGCGGAGTGTTGACGCTGGGTTGGGCATAGGGCCCAGGCTCCGGCCCACCCAGTGGCTGTGGGTGGGAACCCTCCTGGTTACCTCCAATCAGGGCCGATACTGAGGCGGAGGCAGGTCTATACTTCTCGACGTAAGGGACTGGAATCATCCCCCTCTTGCCTTCGCTGTCCTCTGCATTCCACCACTGCTCTTCAGGCTTATCCCGGATTCTCAGGATGTCTCCTTTCTTAAAGGGAAGATCTTCTTCATCATTCCCATTAAAGTCAAAGAGGGCTCGCACATACTCTGCCTCCTCCTGCCTGAGAATCACTCCACTACCCTGCCTGGATCTGGAAACTGGTTCTATCAATGTTGTAGTGTCCAAATAATGTATTTTGTAGAATTCCAGTAAAGCAGGCAATGAATCAAACTCTTGATCTCCTATTCGGAGTCTGGAGGGGCTCACCCCTGGAAAAAAACAGAGCAGGCTATTATTTAAAGATATATTACAAAGGAGATGAAATGCAGATTTTAACCATTTCCTAAACACATTTACTCAATACTAAATCAGAAAAAAAGTCTAGAAAGGATAACCCCTCTCCTTATGGTAAACTGAAAATCATACTCTAGTTAAAACATACCCTAAAAAGATGCCCATCACCACCTGCAGCAGAGATGGAACAGAAGGCCTTAACAGACCAGGCCAGTCAGGGCCTGCTTTCATACTGGATCAAAGACAAAGCAACATGGAGACTTTTTTGTTCATTCTCCCAAAATGTTCTGTGCTATCCCATTTACAGAGTAGCATAAGGTTCAAGGCTTTGTTGTAATCTTCTTTTCAACCTCAGGAAATGTAGCAACTCTCCTTTTTCATAGGTCCCAGTAGCTTTTCCAAGAAGAGTTGGGGAGAACTTGCCATCTATCTACACCAGGCTCATACATTCCTTCTCTTCACATCTAGAATGTACAATTCCTAACAAAAAAAAAGATTTTTTGCTTGTTTGTTTGTTTTTTTAAGTGAGTTCTATGCCCAATGTGGGGCTTAAACTCACAACCCTGAGATCAAGGGTTCCATGCTCTAGTAACTAGGCCAGCCAGGCACCCTCAATTTCATTTCCGACAGCCACCAAAACGAACAAACAAACAAAAAACCTTAATTAGGCAAAAGAACCAAGCAGTCTAAAAAGAGAAACCAGGAAGCTAACTGCTTAACAATCAATTCCCAAGGTCTGCACTGAAATAAAACATGTAAACCACATTGCTCCCTCAGGTCATGAAAAACAGTAAATAAGGATGCCTGAAAAAATAAAGTGTTAAAATTCTCAACCTCTGGGGGCACCTGGCTGGCTCAGTCAGCAGAGCATGCAACTCTTGATCTTGGCATTGTAAGTTCCAGCCCTACATTGGGTGTAGAGATTACTTAAAATCTTAAAAAAATAATAATAAATTAAATTAAATTAACATAAAATTCTCAACCTCTTATGACACGCTAGGGTCATTCACATAATGCAAAGGTGTGTATGGCCCTAGATACAGAGGGCATGCTTCCAAATGTGTTCCTGGGGGGGGGGGTATAGCTCAGGCATTGAGCATCTGACTGCAGAATATTTTCCCTCTCTATCCCAAGATTCTAGAACTGAAAGATATTAACATGCATCAGTTCAAATGAAAAAGTTTCTAGTGACAAATACACCTTTTTTTTTTTATTTAAGATTTTTATTTATTTGACAGAGAGATCAAAAGTAGGCAGAGAGGCAGGGTAGCGGGGTGGGGGAAGCAGGCTCCCTGCTGAGCAGAGAGCCCAATGTGGGGCTCGATCCCAGGACCCTGAGATAATAACCTGAGCTGAAGGCAGAGGCTTAACCCACTGAGCCACCCAGGATCCCCAGAAATATACCCTTTAACTTACACTCTGCTAAGCACCAAAATAACAAATCATCTTTATTGGATTTTTTTACCTTTTGGTTTCCTGATAAAGTAATAAAATAAACAGAAAACTGTTTTTTGCAGAGCTTTTTCTTCTTTTTCTTAAAGATTTTTTTTAGTTATTTGACAGAGATCACAAGCAGGCAGAGAGGCAGGCAGAGAGAGGAAGGGAAGCAGGCTCTCTGCCGAGCAGAGAGCCTGATGTGGGGCTCGATCCCAGGACCCTGAGACCATGACCTGAGCCGAAGGCAGAGGCTTAACCCACTGAGCCACCCAGGCGCCCCTGCAGAGCTTGTTTTTTTTAATCACCCTTAACCCACAATTCAGCATTAAGTTATAACCTCCCAAATTTGAATATGTGTGTGTGTGTATACAAGTATGTCATAAATATATACAAGTGTTTTATAGTTAGGTAATACAAATTTTTTATCTTGCCTTTTTTTCTTATAAAATAAAAAGATTTTATTTTTATATAATAAAAATTTTCTCATCTCTGCATGAACATGACTTTTTTTTTAAAAATATTTCATTTATTTGAAAGAGAGATTATAAGTAGGCAGAGAGAGGGAGAAGCTCTCTCAGCAGAGAGCCGGATGCGGGGCTCGATCCCAGGACTCTGAGATCATGACCTGAGCCGAAGGCAGAGGCGTAACCCACTGAGCCACCCAGGCGCCCCATGAACATGACTTTTAATAGCTTTAAAGTATTCTTAACTTTTCACTAGAGAAAATGCTATTATGAGCATTTTTGTTCTTATCTATTAGCGAGTTTTTTTTTTTAATTCCATTAGAATAAATTCCTTGAAATGCACCCGCTGGATCAAAGGGTAAGAACATTAAAGTTTATGTTGCCAAATTGCCCTCCAAAAGGTCTGTACGATTTTCCACTGCCACCACTGATCTATGAGTTCCCACTTTCTCCATATCCTTGCCAAAACAGCATTTTAAAAAGCATTGCAAAGGACACCTGGGCAGCTAGTTGGTTAAGCATCTGCCTTTGGCTCAGGTCATAAACCCAGGGTCCTGGGATTGAGTCCCATATCAGGCTCCCTCTTTAGTGGGGAGCCTGCTTCTCCCTCTGCCAGCCATCCCCACTGCTTGTTCTCTGACAAAATTTTTTTTTTAAAGATTTTATTTATTCATTTGACAGAGAGAGATCACAAGTAGGCAGAGAGCCAGGCAGAGAGAGAAAGGGAAGCAGGCTGCCCGCTGAGCAGAGAGCCTTATGCGGGTCTCGATTCCCGGACCCTGAGACCACAACCTGAGCCAAAGGCAGCAGCTTAACCCACTGAGCCACCCAGGTGCCCTGAAATATAAATTCTTAAAAAAAAAAAAAAAAAGAGAGAGAGAGGCGCCTGGGTGGCTCAGTGGGTTAAAGCCCCTGCCTTCGGCTCAGGTCATGATCCCAGAGTCCTGGGATCGAGCCCCGCATCAGGCTCTCTGCTCGGCAGGGAGCCTGCTTCTGCCTCTCTGCCTACTTGTGATCTCTATCTGTCATATAAATAAATAAAATCTTTAAAAAAGAAAAAAAGAAAGAAAAATTACTGACAATTTGGGATGCCTGTGTGGCTCACTCCATTATGTGTATGCCTTCAGCTCAGGTCATGATCTCAGGGTCCTAGGATCTGATCTAACATCGGGCTCCCTGCTCATCAGGGAGTCTGTTTCTCCCTCTCCCTCCACCCCTCCCCCGGCTCATAGGCTCTCTCTCATTGACTATTTATTTATTTTTAAGATTTTATGTATTTGAGAGAGTCAGAGATAGCAACAGAGAGCATAAGCAGGAAGGAGAGAGAGAAGCAGGCTCTCTGCTGAGCAGGGAACCTGATGCGGGACTTGATCCCAGAAACCTGGGACCATGACCTGAGCCAAAGGCAGACAACTTAACCAACTGAGCCACCCAGGCACCCCTCAATGACAATTTAATGAGAAATGCTATCTCTTTTTAAATATCATCTTTGATTGTTTGGTGTATTTCAAGATTACTATTTGTACTTCTTTTGGGAGGGTTACTTGTTCAAGTCCTCTGTTAAGGGAAAATGCCCAATTTATGTTCTTCACTCCAAGAACAATGGTCCACTATCTAAAAGCCATAGTGATATGGCTCAGGTCATGATCTCAGGGTCATGGGATTGAGCCCCAAGTCAGGCTCCACGCTCAATGGAGAGTCAGCTTGAGATTCTCTCCCTTTTTCTCTCCCCACCCCCGCTTGCTGTCTCTCTCTCTCTCTCTCTCAAATAAACAAATAAATCTTTAAAAGCCACAGTGAGGGGCGCCTGGGTGGCTCAGTGGGTTAAGCCTCTGCCTTCGGCTCAGGTCATGATCTGAGTCCTGGGATCGAGCCCTGCATAGGGCTCTCTGCTCAGCAGGGAGCCTGCTTCACATCAACCCCCCCGCCGCCTGCCTCTCTGCCTACTTGTGATCTCTGTCAAATAAATAAAATCTTAAAAAAAAAAGAAAGCCTGTGATTAATGTGGTGAAATAGGAATATTGTGATAGCCCAAGATGGATGTATAAATCAATTTGCACTCTAAAAGAAATGAGACCCAAAAGAAAAAAAAAAAAAGAAATGAGACCCAATTATTTTGTTCAGTATTAGAAATCACTTCTTCCAGAATGACCAGGAAAAGTACCTTTGAAATTCAGTGATGGAAAGTGAAAAGATAAACTACAGAAGTTAACCAGAAGTCCTCAATACAGAATGAGTACTGATAAGTGCCTTCACAAATGAAGGCACAACGAGACACCAAGACACAATTTAAAGGACAGTTGCACATTTCTTGTATCACACAAGTCCATCTGTGGAATTCATGGCTGTAAGCTAAAACAAGTTAATAGCCCACAATCAGTAATGCTGGCTGGCTCCCCAACTCAAGATGCTGAAATAGAGGGGTGCCTGGATGGCTCAGTCATTAGGCGTCTGCCTTCGGCTCAGATCATGATCCCAGGGTGCTGGGATCAAGCCCTGAGTAGGGCTCTCTGCTCAGCAGGAAGCCTGCTTCTCCCTCTCCCACTCCCTCTGCTTGTGTTCCCTCTCTCACTGTCAAATAAATAAAATCTCTTAAAAAAAAAATGCTTAAATAGATGCCCAGACCCAGGACTACATATCTACAGCAAACACTCATCAGGTACCTGCAGGACACAACCCCACTAGTTCCAAGAGCTGAACTGGAGAACTTTGGTTAGGAATATACCAGAGCATGGTGGTGCTATACTCTGGAGTTTGCCTTCACTCAAACGGACCACTGAAGGGGGATTGTTCCCATTCAAGTCGGGTAGGCAATGAGATACATGGTCATTCTGCTTATTACCACTAGGTTAATTCAGTGATCCTTTAGGCCTGCTGAACTATGTGAAGGATTGGGTCAACGTGAGCTCCAAGGAGACCTACTGAGCACTGTCTGGTCCAGAAAGCCTCCAGAGTAGAGAGTGTTAGGGAGGACCCTCACACCAGCAGAGTACCCATGGCTTAGAAAATGGTCCTAATGACACAAAGGGAGGAAAGCTCCCTTGCTAGAGTTTACCCAACTACATGCCAAGGTG